CCTTTCGTTTGTCTGTGATTTTGTTCTACTGCTCAGTCGGTTGAAGAAGTTTGTGTGTCCAAGGGCCCAGGAAGTCAAAAAAAAAAAAAAAAAACGTCAACGACTTCCCTTCTCTCTAGCAGGCGTTTCTCTCTCTCTCTCTCTCTCTCTCTCTCTCTCTCTCTCTCTCTCTCTCTCTCTCTCTCTCTCCATGGCCATGTCTTGTCGGGACCCGCGATCATTTTCGGTTTCGGCAATGGATCCTCTCTGGCGACCCCAGTGACCAGTATCGTCACCCCCTTTCACCCCCGTCTTAGCTGGATTCTTTGGTGGTAGATATTCCCTTTTTGTTTTTTTTTTGGGGGGGGGGGGGGGGGAGGAGGGGAGGGGCTGTAGATATGCCCATTTATGGTCAGAAGAGGAGAATGTAGGCGAAGTGGAACATCACCCCAGTTGGATGCTCCAGCATCCTTTTGGGTCAGTTGGCTTCCGTCTTCTCCCAAGTAGAATGTACGGTCATTATCTCCGTATCTAGACTGAAAGCAGCCCTAAATTCGGCTATAATGATCGTACGTCCTACTTGGGGCAGGGGAAGACTGTAGATTGCAGCTCGAAACTTCAATTAAGGCACAACAATGCAGACCGTGTTTTTTTTTTTTTTTTTTTTTTACAGCAAGTCTTGTTTTGATCCACTTCCTCCGGATTCCGGAATAAAATTGTCCAAATTTTTTCACGGTCATAGCTGCTCATGCTGATGTGACCACCTGCACAAGCTCCACTACGGCACTACCGTCTTTACCCGAATAGAACGCCCGGTCATTATCGCTGCATCTGGACCGAAAGTTGTGCCAAATAATACAGCTAAAATGACAGGGCGTTCTATTCGGGTGAAGACGGTAGGACCGGTTGTCCTTCTGACTCCTTCAGGCGGCCTGACTGTCGGTGAACGTTATTGACTTTCCTGTTTTGGCTTAGTCCATCTTGTCTGAAGACTCTGAACAAGTAGCCCTCCTTCGCGTGAGAATCACAAAGTGGAGCACAGCCAAACAGCGGGCCTCTCCGTCTATCTGCCGCTGGCAAGACACGGGAACTGAAAATTCGTAAGGTGCAATATACATCATTGGCACAGGTACCATCGGTCAAAGCAAGCGAAGGAAAATAACAACTGTGTCCTACGGTCCTACCCTACTCATCAACTGGAGAAACTTCCGAGAAAGGATGAAAAGAGGGCAGCGCGGGACGAGGATCATGAGAGGGAGGGGGTGGAGACAATCGTCCGACGATGAGGAGGTTCAGCAAAAAGGCAGTGCACCAGCTGTCACGAAGTGCAGTTGGTATGCGTCAAGTGTACATTCTTCGAAAAAGAAAAAGCTCCTTCTTTGCTCAGTTATCTTAACCGGTAAGACTCTCTCTCTCTCTCTCTCTCTCTCTCTCTCTTGTGCACGCACTTGCTCACTCTCTTTGCTTGCCTCCACCCTGACCAGCCTGTTTCCTTTTCTCTCGTGTGTGGTCGTGTGATGTGTGATTGCTTAAATTTGCTTTCTATCTATACAGTTCTCTCTTCAACTCACCTCATCTCTCTCTCTCTCTCTCTCTCACACTTCTCTGTGTGCATCTGTGCGTGGCAACTTTGCGGAAGATGTATGCATATGTCTCATCATGACTCTCATGTATTGGCGAGGAGCTGTTCCTTGGTTGATGAACAATCGTCGATCAATGCTACAACTGTAGCGAGGGAGGGGACTCAGGAGAGAGCGTTTAATTAACTCCTCGCTGAGCAACTGATGACGTCATGCCATGTCTTGTAAGGTCCGCAAGCGTGAGCAACTGGCATGACTTGTAAGGTCCGCAAGCGTGAGCAACTGGCGAAGTCCATGCCGTGCCATGTCTTTATAGAAAACCAAAATGGATGTTCCGTTGTTAACTCGGCGTGCGTGAGCAACTGATGAAGTCCATGCCATGTCTTGTAAGATCCACAAGTCGCAAGCAGCAGAAAGCTAGTGTGTTGTTATTGGAGAACGGTGTGCTTTTTGAAGTAGAATTGCTTCCTGCATGATTCCTCTTTGAGAGCACCCTTTGCAGGGTCCTTAACGTCAGGAGGCTTTGGTCTCATCTCGACTGAAGCTGATACGTGGGGGGTAACCAACCGTCCCCTGTAGCCCTCCGCTGCTACGAGCACTCAGGCCACAACTCCCCAAGACTGTACGGCTGTCTGCTCTACCTAAACCCCCTTTTTTTTTTTTTTTTTTTTTGCTCTACCTAAACCCCCAGGCCAAGCCCCAAAAGGTGCACTGGCATCCAAGCTGCAACTTTGAACAAAAATACATGGGAAAGGTACTGGTGGTTTAATCGGCCCCAAAAGTTGCACTGGCATGCAAGCCGCAACTTTGAAAAAATACATGGGAAACGTACTGGTGGACCAGTGGTGGTTTAATTGTCCTCTAGTACCTCTACTCCACCCTTGCAGTAATCTGCATTCGGCTGGTGCGGCCATGCACTTTGCTCCGGAGGCCAAGCCCCAAAAGTTGCACTGGTATGCAAGCCGCAACTACTACTTCGAAAAAATATACATGGGAAAGGTACTGGTGGTTTAACTCATCCTCTAATCTTTTACATTGATTGACATTCCTGTGTGCTTCATGTGTGCCGCATAAGCTGCATGATTTGCAATTTTGCAGTTCCTGAGTCTAAGTCCCACATATTTTTGAAGAGGCCCTTTTTTTCCAAACAGCGATCGACATTTTGGTTCTACGAGACTGTCAGCCCAGGGCGGGGCGCGGCGCTACCGGGAGCGCTGCGCTCCGCCCCGGGTTGCGACATCGCACAGGTGGGCCATGGTGATGGCGTGCGGTGGCGATGGTGGCCATCTCTTCTGTAAATCAGGCGCTTCGCGCAAGCGCAAGTGACCGAAGGCGCTTGTCCACGCCACATCACAAGCTGATGTGGCGGCTGGACTAACTCCCGTTTTTCTTATTCTGGGAGTTCCACGTTTCACTCCATTGCCGCTGTGTTCTTGCACGTGGCATATGGCCTGAGAGGCGTTAGCTATAGCGACGCCTGTGGAGTACAGTGGAGTCAGCCCTTGGTAAACTGAAGTGCGAGTGCAGTGGCGACTGCAGTCATGAGGAAGTAGATGTGTCAGCATAATCAGGGTGCTGCTCGTCATCAGCAACGGGACGTTGATCACCACCAGCACCATCATAGGGCGCGGTTGCCAGTTGGCGAAGCTCATCATCATAGGGCGCTGCTGATCCCTATCATCATCATCATTAGGTTATCATCAAAGGTGCTCGTCATCAGCACCATCATCATCCTGTTGTCATCACAGGGTGCCGTGCGTCATCATCATCATCATCATCATCATTACCGACATCATCATCATCATCATCATCCTATGCATCACCCGCGGTCATGACCGTGGGCCTTTTTACCGCATGCGGTCGGGATCACGACCGCGCAGGCCGACCGCCCGTGGCTGAGTGCCGGCAAGAACCCCCGACAATTTTTTCGGGCCCTAAAAATGGGCAAAAACAAAAATAAAAAATATGGGCGTGTAGATAAAAACAACCTCTACAGGCCTGTGATTAACAAAAAAAAATTATAACATTTTAAGGAAGGGAAAATAATAAATAAAGAGCATCGAAATTAAAAAAAAATAAAGAAATAAACCCGCTGATGATTTTTTTTTTTTTTTTTTTTTTTAGTTTGTCGGGCCGGTGGAAAAACACTGGCCCACACACACACACACACACACACACACAATCAATCAATCAATTGATCAATCAATCAATCAATCAATCAACGAACCAATCACAATCAATCAATCAATCAATTTGATTGATTGATTGATTATGTGTGTGTGTGTGTGTGTGTGTGTGTGTGTGTGTGTGTGCGCGCGTGTGTTTATGCGCGGGTGTGTGTGTGTGTGCACGTGTGTGCGTGTGTGTGTGTGCGCGTGCGCGTGCACGTGTGCGTGTGTGCGTGCGTGTGTGTGTGTGTGTGTGTGTGTGTGTGTGTGTGTGTGTGTGTGCCGGGGGGAGGGTTGGGAGGACCTCCCCCACCAATCAACCAATCAATCAATCAATCAATCAATCAATCAAAAACCAATCAAGCAATCAATATTTATGTTTTTTTCTATTTTTAAAATTTTTTTTTTCCACACACCAAAAACGACCCCCCCAAAAATTATTTTTTTTAACTTTTTTTTTTTTCAAGGGGGTAGGGTCAGGGTTCCGGAACCCCAATCCACAACCCCGACCCCCAACCCCCTCTCACCTCGGCCGGTGTGGGCCGCGGCGAACCGCGGCAGACCGCGGCCTCGCGGCCGTGACCGCAGACCGCGGTCGTGCCCGCGGTGACCACGATTGCGGGTGTTTCATAGTCATCATCATCATCATCATCATCAGTTTGTAATCATAGGGGCTGTTGGTGCTGCTCTTTAGTATGATCAGCATCATCAATATGTCTTCATTCTCATCATTACCATCATCATCATCAGTTTGTTATCATTAGATGCTGCTCTTCAAGGCATTGTTTGCCTTTCACATCAGCGGTCGTCACCATCATCCTCATCATCATCATCTTCAGGGTGCTGTTCATCGTCATCAGCAAAATCCAAAAAAATATCATCTACCTTTTCTCCATCATAATTTCCAGAAATTTCCGATTCTTACATTCATATCTTAGGAATCCTATTTCCTAAATTCCTTGCTTTTTTTTTCTCCACTATTAGTTCTTGGTTCCCCTTTGGGTGCACTAATTAATTATTTTTGCGCTGGTGGGGGTTTGGGGTTTTAAGGAGGAGAGCTCTACTCTGCAGGGGCTTCACAAGGTGGGAGGTGAAATGCCCTGGAGGGAGTGATGGCAGATTTTTGGGGGATGCTCTATTCTAGGGCTGGGAGAGATGTATGGGTTGGCATCATATCCCAGCGGAGGCAGATAGGGGTGAGGGGTTGGCTGAGGCATACTTTGGGTGGAACTGGATGCCTTAGTGGAAGTTGGGGGAGGAACCAGGTATGTCCCAAGTTGGGCCTGATAAGGAGAGCTTGTGATCAGGGCAGTTCAGTGGAGGCAGCGGAGGGACGGGGGAGATGGAGGGGAGGGGGGGGAAATAATCCACAGAAATGTCCAGAATTCTGATTCTCCTCTTAAGCATAAACAAATTATTTTGGGTGGGGTGGTGGGTTGGTTCTGGGGGGAGAGCTCTACTCTGCAAAGGCTTCATAAGGAGGGAGGTGATTGCCCTGAAGGGAGACGGGGCGGACTTTGGGGGATGCTCTATTATGGGGCTGGGGGAGATGTATGGGTCGGCATCATATTCCCGCGGTGGCAGACAAGGGCAAAGGGTTGGCAGAGGCATACTTTGGGTGGGAACTGGATGCCTTTGTGGGAGGAGGGGGGGGAAACGGGTCGGTCCCAAGCTGGGGCCGATGAGGAGTGTCCATGATCAGGGGCGGTCCTTTTTGTTGGAGGCAGCAGTGGGGCAGGGGGACGAGGGGGCAGGGGGGAATTTCTATATTCTTTGTTTGTATTTGGTTGGGACTTTTCCTGATTCTTTCTGGAGTTTTCAAAACAAGCACCCTTATTCTTGGTAGTTTGAAGAATCTCTCGGGACTCTGAGGGTCTGCTGGCGGTATGTACGAAGCTGCATTGGAATTAGACTGTTATATTCAGGATCCGTGGCTGTTCAATGCCAGAACGACGCTGGCCGGAGCCGGGGTGATGCCCTGTAACTTGCCGAAGGTGAGGGCATGAGGCCTTGTAGAGAGATCTGATAAGGGGCAGTTGGGGGTTGCTGACACAGGACGACACTGGCCGGAGCTGGAGTGAGTCGCGTTGTTCTGTAACCTAGCAGATAGGGGGCGTGAGACCTGGATGAGTTTGTCAGAAAATAAGTCAGTTTTAGTGACTCAATAATAGTGAGCTTTGTTATGATCTGTTGGAAATCCCTTAGATGCTCGAGTGTTTTGAAAATTGCGGTGGATTTCAGGAGGTGTTTAGCGATCATAAAAAAAAGATTCATAGTATTCTCATTATCTATCCTGAAGTCCGGTAACTTGTTCACGATCTTGGAGGATACTCTCAAGCCGAAACCAGATCAATTGGTTCATTATAAAAAAAAAAAGAAAAAAAAAAGAAGTGTGTCATCAACAACTGTGGTTGGCTGGATCAGATTGTTCCGGAGGGCTGAACGGTAAGAAGGGGGTGAGGGGAGCTCTATCTTTCAGGGGCATCACAAGGTGGGGGGTGAATGTCTCAAAGAGGGTAGGGGCGGAATAGGGGGTTGCCTTATTCTGGGGCAGGGGCTGGCGTGTGGGTCAACGTCAGTCCCAGTGGAGGCAGAAGTGGACAATTGGCGGCTAGGGGCATGCTTTAGGTGGGAACTGCGTGCTCCTGGGG